ACTTTGTATTATTACTTTTGTATTATTTTATTATATTATAAATAATGTTTCATTATTTCTTCCAACCTATGTAACGGCCTTCCTTGAGCGTGTGATTTTGTTGTTGGTTTAAGAGCCCCTATATTGTGATTCTAGCAATATCGGTTTTGGAACATCCTACGACGAGTTGGTTATACAAAAAGGATGGTTAAATTTAATTTTTCACCTACTAATTATTACTCCTTTTTCATTTTAATCTGAAAAATTAAGTTTCTTTCAAAATCATTTATAAACTTTGAAAATCATTTTAAATTCATCTATCCAATAAATTGCCGTTCGTTTGTTTAACGGAATCCCATGGCATACTTATGTGACACATGCAGTTTTGAAATATTATATTTTAATCCCAATAACTTCACAAATTTTTTAATTAAATTTTATATTCAAACCATTCTACTTTTTTAATAAGATTTTTTCTTTATTTTTTTATTTTTAATTTTGTAATAAATTTATATGTTTTAATTTTGATTAACAACTAAAAATTTATCATTGTCATTATTAAGATAAAATTATATCACTTCTTTTTTTATTTAGTTCAAAAAATTAATCTTATTTGTATTATCTCTTTCTTAAAATAACTTTTGTTTTTTTTTTTTTTCAAATTAAGAATTTAAGGATAATTTATGTTTATTTATATTATCCTTAAAAAGAAATAAAAGATGAAGAGAAACATTTTGTGATGGGATGATTAATTAAAGTAAATAAATAATAATAAGGTTATAGGGCAATAATTATTTTGGAATAAATGGAGTAAAGTTAAAATATATTCCTTACATCCCACAATAATAAGTATTTTTTTATTTAGAATTTATCTTAAAATAATAGTGATTTTTTTTTATACCTTAAAGGAAATAAAATTTTTATTTCTACTTTAATTTTATGATTATATCTTAATTTTAATAATTTTTCTTATTATAAAAGAGTAATGATAGGGTGGATGAAAATTTAAAACTAATGATGTGATCTAAATTATATCATTAAATTAGTTAATGCATATAATATCACATATCTTTAAAAAATCATTAAATAGTCTAATATCTATTTTTTAATATTTTAAATAACGTGACCTAAGTTAAATTTTAGTTCCAAATTTTAATCTTATTTATCATTATTTTTAAAAAAAGGTTCTTATTTTTATTTCTTTTTTAAAGATAAAATATGTAATAATAGAAATTGTTTCTAAATCTTTAATTTAAAGATAAATTCAAAAATGCTTATTATTTTAAGATAGAGAAAATATATATTTAAAACTTTTACATGTAAAAGATTTTTTTTTTAAATTTTAATTTGATAAAAATAATATTATAATCTTAATTAATTAACAAATTAAGCTATCTTAATTATTTATCATTAGTTTTGATTAATTATAATTTAGTCCATTTAAGGATTTAGTTGAGTAAATTGTATTATAAAATAGTTTGAATATAAAATGAAAATTTTGTAAAGTTTTTGTGGTTAAAATGTAATTTTTCAAAATTACATATGCCACATAATTGGTGGCACGTAAGCATGCCATGGAATTTCGTTAAAAAAACTAACGGCAGTTTATTGGATAGGTAAATTTGAAATGATTTTTAAAATTTATAGATGATTTTGAAAGATACTAAACTTTCTAAACTAAAATGAAAAAAGAGTAATAGTTAATAGATAAAAAATTAAATTTAACCCAAAAAGGATAGATTTTTCTTTTTTAATTCCTCACAACTAATTTTATGATTTAAATTTAAAATTTTATTATTAAATATTTAAATTCTTAATCATTGGCTTTTATGATTTTAATTTGTATATTATTATCATTATATTTAAAACAAAAATAACAACTTAAAGCGAGAAAATTGTGTCTTTCCTTGAAGTCAGAGGCGGAGCCAGAAATTTTTTTCAGGGGGGGCAAGATGCAAGAAATTTTTTTCAGGGGGAGCAAGATGCTAAAATTTTCAAAGTTCAAGAAGAGCTAAATAATTTTTCATATACTAATTTATAAATTTTTCAAATTTCAGGGGGGGCGAGCGCCGCCCCTCGCACCCCCCTGCCTCCGCCACTGCTTGAAGTCATCATAAATAAACATATGAATTTTTTTTAATAATTTGGATTACATTGAACTAAAAAAAAAAAAGAAAGAGCACTTGAAAAAAAATCTCACATATTTAAGGGCATCTTCCAATCTAATAGTTGATTTTTTGTTATCTAGTTTTGTTTAACCCCTCAAACAAATTTTTTAACATTGTTTTTAATAACTTTGAACTAACTACAAAGAATAGATGATAATTATAATTAATAAAAAAACTGATCAATTAACAAATATGTATTAGTTAATTGATTGAAATCTATCTATAAATTAATGTTTCCAAACACCAAAATCAACTATTTAACAAAAAAAATACTAAATTTATGTAGTTGTAACATTTTTATTTATGATAATAACAATACTCTATTTTGCAGTTTCACCATTTAAATTATGTTAAACTATAAAAGTAGACCATTAAATTAAGAAAACCCCACACCACTAAAGGCTCATTAGGTATGGCGATTTAAAAATAACAGTTAGCAATTTTACCAAACAATAAAGAATATATGTTTGATAAATTTATTTATTTCAAAACTACTACAAAGTAAGTGTTTGGTAACACTATTTATTTAGCGGTTTGAGATTAACAAATAGTGACTAGGGT